TCAAACTAACGCGTTTTCGCCACTAAAAGTGACGACAACAGCTCCTCACCCGCCCCCGCGGCGGCGGCAGCAGCAGCAGCGACCACGGCCCTGACGCGCACGCCCCGCAACCTCTCCCTCGCCCGCCGGATCCCCCTCCCCGCCACGCCCGCCGACGTCGCCCAGGCCGTCGACCGCGGCACGACGGCCGTGCGCGCCCGCGCCGCCTCCCTCTACCAGGAGAGCGGCGTGACGGAGGCCACCCGCGCCGCGCGCGACTCCCTCTCCACCGTGCCCTCCGTCCTCCTCTCCGTCGCCGCCTTCGAGCTCTACCACCTCCGCCGCGAGCTCCTCTCCGACACCTACGCCTTCACCGTCCCCGCCGTCGCCGCCCTCGGCACCACGGACTACCCCGTCCACGTCCCGGACATGTTCCTCCTCCTCACCTCCAGCTTCTGGTACCCCGCCCTCCTGTGGCTCGCCACCAGCGTCGTCATCCCAGGCACCGCCGGCTACTTCTACAACCTCTCCTCCTCCGCGCAGGACGCGAGGCGCAGCGGGAGGCGTGGCGCGCAGGGCGTGGAGTACGCCGTCGACCCGCTCGCCTTCAGCATCGCCAAGGCCCTCGTTTCGTATGTCGTGTACGCGCAGGGCGCGTCCCTCTTCGGCCTCGTGGACGAGACGAGCGCCGAGAGGATCAACGGCGCCGTTTACGGCGGGTGGAAGGGCGTGCTGGTCGGGTGCGCCGTCACGGGGCTGGCGAGCCTCTACGACGCCATATTGAAGAAGTAGTTTCAAGTTTAGTGGTGTGGGTAGTTGGAGGTTCTTTTTTACTCGATTTTTTTTTCTTTTGGCGGGGAAAGGGGGGCTTGGGAACTACTGGAGGAGGAGAGGGAGGAGGCGAGTATGTGTGTTACGCCGAGACGGGAGGGGAAAGGGAGGAGCTGGAGGCGCGGGAATATCCGGATTGGAAAGTTTCAGGGTCCTTGTTTTTATTGTTCAACTTGTTTATTGCTCGCTGTTCTTTCGTGCGCACCACCCTCGCGCCCTCGTTTATTTTTTGGTTTGGTTTGGTTTGGTTTTTTTTGGTTGGAATGTCCCGAATTTATCTACATCTTTTTGTTCCTCACCCTTTTTCCGCTTCCGTTTCGTTGGTTATTATCGGTGATGGGTTATGGGTATAACGGTTCAGGGGGGGGGAAGGAAGTCAGGGAAGGGGGGAGGGCGACGGGAGAGAGGTTGTATATGATCGATTCTTGTCTTTCCGCACGTCTAATGGCTCGTTGGTCCTGGGTTTCTGGCTCAAACGTACGGGGCGAACTGTTTTAGTGCGGACTTTTTTTTCGTCCAGCTTGGAGCCTCGTTTCTTTTTCTATTTCCCGTGGGTGTTTTTGTTTTCATGTTTTACGTTTTATGTTTATATCCTCTATTAGCTTCTTTCTCTTCCATTGATTTCTTGTTTCTTATGTTCTCTCTCTCTCCGCCCCCCCTTTCCCCTCTCCTCCCCCTTTTCCTCCCTTCCCACACTCACCCCTTTTCCATGAAGCTTATATGTCTGATGTGTACCTGGTGTTACATATTAACAGGCAAGCAAGTCAGCAAGACCGTAGGAGAGGTTGGGGAAGAAAAAAAGGATTGGGAGACGAAGAATATGGGGGTTTTCTCCGTCTCTTGGTGTTCGCCTTGGCCGGTCTGGTGAAACCTCAAGCTCCTCCTTGCAGTCCAATTTACGGACTTGTTTCTTTCTTGGGGTGGGGGCATGAGGCGAAACGCGGATACCTTGGGTTGGCTGTACCGGGCACCATACGTAGTAGATAGAGCCATCGGTCTTTTTGGTGTTAGTCCCCTCAAATATGATGCTCGCGCTCCCGTGAGAACATGACGCCTAGCCGAACTCCCATCCCCGGAGCCCCAGACCTCTTGAACACATAAGAGGTACCTCCTCACACTACGCCCACCGCATCTCGTCCCTAGTACCACCAGGACCAAACCCTTGGCTCCTCGTCCTATAGACGGTACGAGCAGAAGAGCAAAGGCGGGCCTCCTCTCTACGGGTCCCTTATGCTCTACGAGACATCTCCCACCTAGTTCAGCACAAAGTCAATCAGCCATTTTCCCCGCTTCCATTCCCCCGTCTATTTTCTCCACCTCAGATATGTATAGAATAGAATACAAAAGGGCGCCCATCCCATGGTTTGTCCCTGTTCTGACCCTGCCCCTTCCCCTTACTGTCTACAAGCCGCCCTATTAAGATCCCCCTTTCCCCTCCCCCCTTAGAAATGAAGAGAAAAAAATACAAGACGAGGAAAGAAAGGTTAATAATACAGGTCCAGAAGCCTGGAGAGAAA